CACTATGTTGAAAAAGTGTAATTATATAACTGACGTTCTCAGAAGCGCAATGAAGCAAACTGTGTATAACCTAGCACACTTAATCAACGAATAGTAGTCAAATGATTACATTTATACATGCAATACATATGTAATCTCTCTCTCTACATATATGTATATATATCATATATATATAAATATACATATATACACATATATATATTTTATACATAAATATGTATATATATGTATATATATATATATATATATATATATATATATATATATATATATATATATGTATATATGTATATATGTATATATTTATATATATGTATGTTAATACATATGTATATATATACATATATATACACATACATAAATATTTGTACACACACACACACACACACACACATATATATATATATATATATATATATATATATATATATATATATATATATATATTTGTGTGTGTGTGTGTGTGTGTGTGTGTGTGTGTATATGCATGCATTCATACATACAGACAAACATACATACATACATACACATACATACATGCATACACACAATGTATATATATATATATATATATATATATATATATATATATATACATACACACATGTAAGTATATATATATATATATATATGTATGCATGTTTATGTATGAAACATACTTGTATATGTGTATACATATGTACACATAAAAACACACACTGTATATACGTATATATGTATTCATACATATATACGTGTATACAGTGTGTGTGTATGTGTATATATGTATACACTCACACACACATCTATCTATTTTTCTATCTATCTATCAGTCTATCTATCTATATATATATGTGTGTGTGTGTGTGTGTGTGTGTGTGTGTGTGTATGTATATATATATATATATATATATATATATATATATATATATATGTATATAGACACATATGCATACACATGTGAGTGTATGTCTGTGGGTATGTGTGAGTGTGTATGTGTGTGCATATATTCAGTGCATATATATATATATATATATATATATATATATATATATATGCACTGAATATATGCACACACATACACACTCACACATACCCACAGACATACACTCACATGTGTATGCATATGTGTCTATATACATATATATATATATATATATATATATATATATATATATATATATACATACACACACACACACACTGTATAGACTATTGATTGACCTTAAACATTGGTGAACAGGAGTAGTAATAGGGGACGATGGCTTGACTCTGAATATATGCACACACATACACACTCACACATACCCACAGACATACACTCACATGTGTATGCATATGTGTCTATATACATATATATATATATATATATATATATATATATATATATATATATATATATATATACATACACACACACACACACTGTATAGACTATTGATTGACCTTAAACATTGGTGAACAGGAGTAGTAATAGGGGACGATGGCTTGACTCTTTTATTTTCCAAGAGTACAACACACAGAGATATGAATACACACGAGCGGAAGTAACCGCCTGCGGCCCAGGCCCAATGGACCTAACTTGACCCGACAGGCGCTTGTGACTGACTCTCATGACCGGGTCAAACGCGGACCTTTAATATCTGAGACTGCGCGTGGGGGGCGAGGGAGCGCCCACCCGCGTGGGAAGCTTGGCGTGGGGGCGACCACGTGGCCAGACTTGGCGTACAGGACGACCACGTGCTTATGTACTTATTGCTCGGCCACCTACTAGCGCCTGTCCCTCGAGGCGCCTTAGCCTTGCCTCAAGGGTGACTCAACTTGGCTGGTCCTGACTTACTAGTCCTCGATCTCGCGTGCAGTGTCCCTGGTGCATCTTCGCGGCTGCCTGTCTATGTCTTCATCATCATCCTGGTCCCTGGTAAATCCGTCCGTCCTTAACCTCCTCGAAGGTCTCGCACAGGTCTTCCTCGACTTCGGACTTGTCCAGACTTCCTCGTAATCCTCGTCCAGGGTTAAATCGGTGGCTTACTCGCCCAATGCACGTTTCGCGGATCTCGTCCAGGTCTGTCTTGGCTGTACGCTCGTACAGACGTCCTCGTAATCTTCGTTAGGATCTATGGGCGTCCGGCAGGAAGCATCCTCTTCGGCATCTCAGGGCGGCTGATACCTGCGCTGACGAGCTCCTGGAGTAACTGGATCTGCGGCGTCCAGGCAGGTGGCGCCCGTCCACAGCATCATGGGGCGACTGGTACCTGCGTTGGCGAGTTCCTGGTCCTTTGCTGGATCTACGGGCGTCCGGGCAGGCAGCGCGCTTCCACATCCTGGGGCGAGTTGATACCTGCTCTGACGATTATCCTGGTCTCCAGCCTTCTGGCGATCTTCCGGTGACGTTTTTCTACAGCGTCCGAAGGTGACCGTTTCTGCAGCAGGGCCTCCTTCGATGCCGTGTCAGATATCGTGAACCAGATTATGCACATAAGGGCCAAGATAGTGAGAGAAAAGAAGGACAACAGAGAAGAGGGGGTGTTAAGCGCCTCTAGCCGATTATTTTTTTTTATAATTTGCAGTTTTTATGGTCGAATTCTCGTTATTTTCGTCTCTTTTTTATTTTGTGTTTTACGTTCACAAAGTTCAAGAGATAGAGACAGGGGGACATGGTTAAGGAGACAATTGCAATAGTCCGCAAGGACTTGCTTGAGTTGCAATTGTCTCAGGATAGATGGAGGTGAGAATCTACAAGAGATAAGCATTGTGCATAACTATAAGGAAGGAAAAGTTGTCGCGTCCGCAAGGACTATCTTGAACGACAAACGACACACACTGTAAAGACTATTGATTGACCTTAAACATTGGTGAACAGGAGTAGTAATAGGGGACGATGGCTTGACTCTTTTATTTTCCAAGAGTACAACACACAGAGATATGAATACACACGAGCGGAAGTAACCGCCTGTGGCCCAGGCCCAATGGACCTAACTTGACCAGACAGGCGCTTGTGACTGACTCTCATGACCGGGTTAAGATAAGGATAAGTCCGATATGCGAAGCTGAGCCTCGCTGGGGCTATGGGGGAGCCCGGCCTGTGCCGACTAATGTCGACTCGCTAACAGTGTGTCAGCAGGTGCTGACTCGGGTGAGCTTAGTCCTTACCCACCGTGATGCCCAGCCACAGCAGTAACCTCCAGGCGACAATTGCAACTTCTCGCGCCTGGGCGGGGCGCGAACCGCCGACCCCTCGGATGAGAGGCCGACACGTTACCACTGTATTAGCCCGGAGGCTCATGACCGGGATCGATCGATTGTGATTTGCGAAGTTCTAGCTTCGCCCGGGCCTTCGGCTATGGCCCGGCCTGTGTCAGCTTATTAGGGCTGACTCATTTCGATCTGTGGCTCTCGGTGCTTACCGTGGCGGTGGGATTGCCAACAGGCGCTCCTGCTGCCACGGGGTAAGCGAATCGCAAAGTCTCTTTACCAGCACGGCGGCTGTTGTCTGGGGTCCCTGTCTCAGGAATTGTGTGTGTACACAATTCTCTAAGTAATGTATAAGTGTGGCGTTCGGCTCGCCGCAATGCATGCAACACCTCTCTTCATGGACAATGGTCTCAATTATCTGCCATTTACAGTGGTAAGCTAGGCGCATTCTGTGGAGAATGACTTCGGTTTGTCTGTCTTTTAGCTCAGAGAGTGCCAGTGGATCATAGCCCGTTGCTTCTGAATACCATCTGGCCGAGGGGGAGGATCTCGTTGTCTCTCTGTGAAGCTGCAGGAGGAAGGAGTTGGCGACACCAGTACTCTTCATCCGAAGTAAATTACGGCTAGGTGCAATGATCATGGGACTAGGGGGCATACCCCTGCCAGAGACTGCAAGTCTGTCAGCAAGTTCGTTCCCTCTGATGCCAATGTGGCTGGGGACCCAATTAAGGATGATTCTTCTACCCTGAGCCAGTATTCTTTGGGCTATTGTTAATATTGTGGTCAGGAGGTAGATATTGTCTTTGGGTGAGCTGAGCTTGAGAGAGTCAATGGCTGCCCTAGAGTCAGTGTGGATGACTACGTGTCCTCCCAAAGGGGACGCGTGGGCTAGGGCTTCCATGATCGCAACGGCCTCTGCCTGTAGCGAGGAGGCGTTGTCTGATACCCTCATGGAGCGCATGGCATCCCTTGCTGCAAAGCCGGCGCCTGCAGTGTGGTTGGCTGGATCGACCGATCCGTCCGTGTAGTAAGTTCTACTACCCGGGGGGGTGATGGCTGATATGACCCTGTAGGTCTCTGCCTTTAGACCAGGCGTGGGATATTCGGTCTTCTTGAGCACTAATCTCATGACCGAGAACTCTATCGAATTTTGTGCCCACGGCGGGGCTTCGACAAAGTCAGGGTGGGGGGAGTCCATGCCCTTGGTCAGGAGCTGCTCTTTGAGCTCAAAGCTTATCAACACCCTGGCTGTGTGGGACAGCCACGTGTTGTTGGCAAAGAGCTCGTTGTCTTGTTCCAGGCGTCTGGCTAATTTTTCTCTTAGGCTCGTGTTCCTGGGAGCCTGGAGGACCTTTGCAAAGAAGTTGGCTGCCATTTGATCGATTCGTGAGTCCAGGGGGAAAAGGTTGGTCTCCATCAGGAGGTTGGGAACCTTTGACCACCTCGGGGCACTCAGAATGATTCTGGCAGCTTCGTTTTGGACTGTTTCCAATTTTTCTCTGTATTTTTTCTTTCTGCCAATAAGGGCGACTGAGGCGTAGTCCACAATGGGCCTGACAGCATGTATGTAGAAGGCTCTTAGTACTTTGTGTCTGGCTCCTATGTGTCTCCCAGTCATTACTCTCATGACGTTCAGTCTTGCTTTGCATCGGTCGACCAGGTACTTGGTCTCCTGTCGGAAGGAGAGGGTCCGGTCTATCCATACCCCAAGGTATTGGAACACCGGGACCCATTCC